TTCCTTCCTTCCTTCCTTCCTTCCTTCCTTCCTTCCTTCCTTCCTTCCTTCCTTCCTTCCTTCCTTCCTTTTTTGTTTGACTTTTTTAAAAAGCATATTGTCTTTTTCTTATCTCCAAGTGCACTGGTGGCCATATCCTTTGACATTTTCTATACTCCTTGTATTTCTGCTACCCTTCCTTTCTTTTGATTGCTTAATTTGATCTCATGTCTAGTGTTCTGGCCATCCTAATGTGGAATATGAAGACGTAAAAGGGGGAGCCTCGTGGGAGGTGGTTAGGTCTTTGAAGGTGTACCCAAAGAAAGGATTAACAAAAATTTCAGCTCCCTCAGGATCTCCTTTGTTTTTTCATGTTATTGTTCCCTCACATGTGTTCTCATCATGGTTCAATTCACCTCAACATGACAGCCACAGCCAGACAGGGTCTTGATAAAATTGGAGCCATGCTGTTTAGGCTTTTGGATTTTAAAACTGTGAGATAAACCTTTCTTTCTTTCTTTCTTTCTTTCTTTCTTTCTTTCTTTCTTTCTTTCTTTCTTTCTTTCTCTTTCTTTTCTGTATAAAAACATGTATATTTTGTTATAGAAATGGAGTAAAGACTAATGAACCCTTCTACAGAAGAGAGAAGGGGAGAGAGAGAGAGAGAGAGAGAGAGAGAGAGAGAGATTCTGAATAGCCTTTATAAGCTTAGAGTGCAAGGCCCGAATTTGACAAATGAGACATGTAAGCTCAGTTTTCATGTCTTTTTCTTGATGGTTTTTCTTTTTCCTCAGAAGAGAGATTCTTTTTCTTTTTTCAATTTTGTTGTTGGAGAACATAAATCTAACTAAAAATTTCCTAAAGCTTGGACTTTTTTCTAGAAAGGCTTGGATTTTTGCAAAGTCCTCGTGCTTTTACTCCATAGGCCCAATCTTCTGTTCTATCATGACTGCTGCCTTTTAGCTTTGAAACCACCGTTTCTGCACACCTTCTAACCACATCTTGGGCACCTCAGACAAACAGTATAGCCCCCTCTTTGCCTCAGCTTTGTCATTCTCTAATTGACAACCAGCCTGGTTTTTATCAGCCTTTTCTGCTAGATTTCTTGTCATGAATTTGTGTTCACAACTCTTTTGATAGATAAATAGATTCCCACTGCCAGTGTGCTGTGGGAATTTGTCCCGTATTTTTTATGATTCGCTCATAATTTCCAGCCAAAGCAGGCGTCTCTCAAAGCATAAAGGTTTGAATATTGGCAAGGACAAATGTGTGGCATATTGTGTGTTGGTCGCAGAGGCAGCCTTGTTGTATTTTGAGAACGCTGATGTTTCTGCAGCATAGGTGGGGATGTTAATATCCACAGGTTACCTAGAGACCACTAAAAAGCCTCTGTTGTTCCAAGCCTATTCTTGCACTAGTCAACCCTCATCTGCACTTTTGAAGTCCTTAACTGCTCTGAAAAGTGAAAATACAGACAAAGGTTCTGAACTTGTGTGGCTCAAAAGTTATTCTGTCTGTAAGACTCTCCAGCAACTCGTGTGAGAAACAGAACACCTTTGAGGAATCCAACACACTCTATTTCTTATAGGAATTTTTACTTTGCTCTTGCATTATGAAGGCTGGAAGGGAGACAGCTCTGGAAGCGATGTTACTAGCAATTAAAAATGGCAGCATTTAGTCATTTAAACAATATTTCTCTGCAAAGGGAAATAATTGTCAGAGGAGGTAATTTGAAGGAAGAAAATAAAAAGTTATCTGGAAATCTCCTTTGTATTATAATTTTCAGCTTTAAATATGATTAAACTGGATGGGTCTTATTTATGCTCCTGAAAGAAATCAATGGCTCAATCATTTAAACACAGAGTTCCCAAAGTCTCTGTTTTCCAAGCTGTTATGATACCAAATTGGAGCAAATTTATATTCATTAAACTATCTTTTTAAGACAGAAGAAAGTGGAAAATGAGTTGCATTTTGTCCCTCTGTTGACAGTTCTGGCAAAAGTACATCCTCCTAAGGCCATGTGGGTTGCAGAAGTGTGCTAAATGAGGTTGGTGGATTTTCTAGATTAAATCATGATTTTGGTGTCCTTGATCCTTTGCTACCGATTAGCAATCATAAATAAGAGCCTAAGACACATGAAGTATAAAATTTATAGCACATTTATTTGGCTATTAATTAAAAGAAAGAATAAACACATAACTTCTTTTCTGTATTTAAATAATTTGGTCA